TAATAAAAAGACAAGCCATATTGGCCTGACTGCGGTAAAAGAATCTTTTTTTTAACTTAAATAATGCAAATGGCGAAAAGCTTCGGTGACAACCTATGCAATGGAGTGAGCTATATACGTCGCATTTCGTTGTCACGTTTTAAACATCTGATAATACAAAAAAAAAAAAAAAAATCGGCATTATTTTATCGCATCATTGCCCTTCGGAATCGATCTTGTGGTGCCTGAACAAAAGTTTTCATCCTTTGGAAACTTACTTCCTTATTGACCAGATCCCATGGTCTCTCAAATTCTTCAACAGTGTGTAGCAAATCCGCACACTGCCAGACTTCTAAGGCCTAATGGGGTTGTCAGATTTCGAGGAACTTTGCAAACACTTTTGCGAACTCGATACTACTCGATTCGCTTCTCGAAGACCAAGAATTCCTTGTTGTTGAGTCAGAATCATCGTCCTTCCAATGTATATCCTCAGCTTAAGGCAACGTCTGTGCGATCATTTGGGATCTCAACCATACCAAGATTTATTTTACATGCCATGCGGATTCCCGTCGCCGGAGTGACTGTGGGGGTTGGAGGTTTAACTTATGCTAATTACAAATTTAATGGTAGGTATACTTTAATTGTTCACAAATTTATTCTATCTGAACGTGACTTTAGCGTACAATTTTTAATAGAAATGGCAAATAAGAGTTCTGATATGTTGTCCTCTCTCACGGGGGGGATCAAATCGGCTGTCGATGCAATTGGCGACGGGTTGTCAAGGATTGACGTTGAATTGCGGGTTCCAGATTTTTTGTCAAATTTGTTCTCTTCTAAACCGAGTACATCATCTTCCTCGAGTCAACTACAAATGGAATCTGATAGACCTAGATTTATAAAGAAGGATGAGGACCCTAATTCCTCGGATCCTTCAGGTGATGGCGGTGTCGCTGCAGCGGCAGCGGCAACATTGTTTATGAGTGGTAAAGATGATGACAACGAAGGTAAACCTGAAAGAAGACACGGAATTCCTGCACAAGACGATGAATTTATGCTTCTTACCAGAAAATTGATCGAGGTTCGGAACATCCTCACGGGTATTGATCACAACGAAGGGCTTAGGTTACCTAGTATTGTGGTCATTGGGAGTCAAAGCTCCGGCAAGAGTTCAGTGTTAGAAGCTATCGTGGGTCATGAATTTTTGCCGAAGTAAGCTTTAAATAAATCAACCAATCATTCACCAAGATTTTAACTGATCTAATCTTATTTATTACTCATTCGTAAATTTAACAGAGGGTCTAATATGGTAACACGAAGACCCATCGAGTTAACATTAATACACACTCCCAACTCCAAGGAGGAGTATGCTGAGCTTCCTCAATTGGGTTTGGGGAAAATACATGATTTTAAACAAATTCAGAAGACATTGCGCGACCTTAATCTTGCGGTACCTGAGTCTGAATGCGTATCCAACAAGCCGATTGAGCTTCGAATTTATTCGGCAAATGTTCCCGACCTGACCCTTATTGATTTGCCTGGTTATATCCAAGTTAGCAATAAGAATCAACCGGATACTTTGAAGGAGAAGATTGTCGAGTTATGCGAGCAATATATCAGAGAACCGAATATTATATTAGCGGTGTGTGCGGCTGATGTTGACCTTGCAAATTCCGAAGCGCTAAAATCAGGGCGAAAAGTGGATCCATTGGGTCTGCGAACCATCGGCGTGATAACTAAAATGGATTTGGTAGAACCTGAATACGGAGCTTCAATTTTACGCAATACCGATTATCCTTTACACCTTGGTTACATCGGTGTTGTTTGTAAACCTCCTCTGAAGAAAGAAAATCAGGAAAATATTTCTGCGGCCCTAATGCAACACGAAGATGAATTTTTTAGAAGTAATTATGTCTATAGTCAACGAGGTATTCAGGTTGGCACCGGAACCTTACGAAGAAAGCTGATGGAGGTTTTGGAGGAGAGTATGGCAAAATCTTTGTTTTCAATAGTTGGAGCCGTCCAATTAGAATTGGAAGAGGCCCGTTACCAATTCAAAGTACAATATAATGATAGGTGAGTATGATGTTCCCGGATTATTAATTAAAGCATCTAAACATACGGGATTAAATTGTTTATTCATATATTTATATAGACGAATTACGGCCGAATCGTATGTTGCAGAAACAATTGATAGCATTAAACATAACTTTAAAGATTTTGCGCACTCATTTGGAAAACCCCAAGTGAGGCATGAAGTCAGAACCATGCTGGAACAACGAGTATTGGATCTGTGTGCCGAGCTGTATTGGACGGACGGCAAGATTATTGACTTGCAAAAGGCAGCAGCCGATGACCTCTATTGGCAATATAAACTTGAAATGAGCTCTGCCGCTCTTACTAAAAGTGGAATAGGTCGAACTAGCACCCAGTTGGTGGTGGATGTGCTGATGGCAAATATGGAAAAATTGGTATCCATGGATCCGTTAAACAACCATCCGGACACCAGTAGCAAGATTTTGAAATTTTGCAACGAGATCTTACGCAATAAGTTTCACACAACGGCCGATCAGGTAGAGAACTGCGTGAAACCATTCAAATATGAGGTTGAATGCAATGAGTAAGAGTGGGCCGAAGGTGTTAAGAGGACTATTTCGCTTCTGGAAAAGGAATTGGAAAGTTGCAATAAGGCATTACAGAACATTAAAAATTCAGTTGGCAAAAAGAAATTGAGGGCAGTAATTAAATATGTACTTGACGCTGAGAAAGAGGAGGCCAAACGCCAGGCTCGTGTTCGTGATGCTATTGCTGTTGACAGTGAGACAGCCGAGAGTGGTAGTGAAGGGACCGCGCATGCCAACCCTGTCATGATGATCAATAATGTTGTGGAAGAGGGAGATTCAGAACACCATCGTGTACACTTTAACCGTCGAGTTATTGAAAAGGCACGAGAGGCCATATTCCTTCGAGATCGTTCGATGATACTTAAGTATCGTTTAGCTGCAATCAAATCGCGACAATGCAAATCATCGGAAAATAAGCAATATTGCCCAGAAGCATTTCTCAATATGGTGGCCGAAAAGTTGACCTACACTGCCGTCATGTTCATTCAGGTTGAACTGTTAAATGAGTTCTTCTTCCAGTTTCCGAGAGAAGTTGACAATCGCCTCGTATACGATTTGGATCGAAAACAAATTTGGTCATTTGCAAAGGAAAATCCAAACATACGGAAGCATTTGGAATTACAAGAGAGGAAAAGAAAATTGGAAGAGGTATGGTTCTGTGTGTAAAGTGGTTCATCACTCAACTCCATATTTAATATGATCCTTTTTTTTCAATAGGTTATGGAAAAATTAAATTATTTGGTTAGGCGACAGAGGGACATAGAAAGTCGTAAAGGTCCGGGAAGCGTATATGCTTGATTTATCTTGGAAAATATTGCATTCTGAGAATAAACCTTTATTCTTTGAATTATAATAAAAAACATCATTTTGAAAAAGATCATGCAATTGTACATTATTGTCACCATTAGAAATTTATTATTCCTCACTTATTTTTTGTTTTATTTACAACATAAACATTGATGTATATATGTTAACTTTATATTTAAATAAAGGATGATTATAGAAAAGGTTTTGAATTAGAAATTCCATAAAAGAATGTGTAAAAGAAAGAAAAATTTTTTCAAGTTTAAAAACTTGATAATCATTGTCTATTAAAAAATTATCATTATTATACAAGAATATTTTTAGCTTTAGCAAAAATCCAAACATGCAAAAGTGTCATAATCTACATAAGTCATCAAGAACCGACTGACATTGCCTCCCAACCTCATCCCTGAACGAAAGTAAGTTTTGTCAGAAAACTTGGCTGAGGTGGTGAATGATAAAATAAATTGTTCCATCCCACTGCGATGGTCATTTAAACAAATTTTATAAATACGAAACTGACATATTGCTCTTATCCAGTTTTTCTTTTTTTGGAAGTCGGTTTATCAAATCCTCCGTGCATGCCACCCATTTTAGAAATTATCGATTTGTTGACTAAAGATTTTTGATTCCAAGCGGTATCTTTCTGTAAATCGAAAAGTATGACATATAAATAAATAAATACGTAGAAAGGAAAACTCGAAACCAGTTGAAAACAAACCTTTGAAGTATCTTGATCCACCAAGTGAGTCCATTTAGTCTGCCCCGCACGACCAAAATTTTTGACTTGCATGACCTTTGGCAACAATTCCTTGTGAGCTAATTTAAATAAATATATGCTACGTTAATATTAATTTGATATAAGAAAACCACAAGTTGTCGATCATTGCGCTCGGAGGTCTAACTAAACGTTCATCTGAGGTAGGTATTCTAATAACAAGTATAACAATATCCTCCCTGGGCGCGTGCTATGGGCGTGTTCATTCGAATTACATAGTGCATGGTATCCGGATATAAGTAAACATTGGATACGTCATTCGGCGATTTATATATTCTTGCCCACCTGCTTCATCCGGTGTTGGCGCAGTGTAATTGCGTTTGAATATGTTATCTTCAGAATCCTAAAATAAATTTAATTCCCATTTAAAATCTGCGTAAAAAAATTTGAGAACCGTGTATAATATATAGTTTCAAGGTACCAGGTAGAAGGCTCCCTTGTGATAATATTTTTGCAGAAATTTGTATTGTCCTTTCGGTTTTTCTTCATTTTGTTTTTTAATACGTTCTAAATCTTCAGCCAGGCGTTGCTCTTCAGGCATATTACGCCTTCTTTCAATCTCAGCACGCTCTTTTTCCCTCCTAGGAAGAAATATGGTTCACATAAAAAAGAAAGACAAAAAGGAACAAAACTAAAAATAGTTGAGGTGATAGCGAAAAACTTACGCCTCTCGTTCCTCTCTATCCCTCTTTATCCGTTTTAATTCACGCAGCTTCCATTCCTCATATTCCGTCTGTTCATCAATACCGTCCGTGTCATCGACTTCGTGAGCAACACCCTCTTCAACTATGAATTTATTTATAATAATAATGAGTTGAACGTTCATGATATTGAATCGGTTATTTGAAAAGTTACCCTCTTTTTGCGACTCTCTTTGAACTACTTCAGCCACCATTATATGAGATTCTTTCCTTCTTTCCTCCAGCTCTTTAAGTCTCTTGGCTTCAGCCTCTTCAGCCAATTTCTCAGTTCTTTCTCTTTCTAGTATTGTCTCTCTGTGTGCTCTATAGACAGGAGTTTTAACATTTAATTTCCTCTATCGATTAAACTTTAAAATCATTATACAAACTTTGGAATAAACACGGGTTTAAGTAATTTTCGTGAATTCTGATCCTCATCTTCTGAATCAGTCTCATATTCAGAGGTTTCCTCTTCACTTTCCTATAATTTATTAAATTGATACATGAGAAAGTGGTTGCTAATAATGGTGTATATCGATCTAGATAATTCACCTCCTTTTCTTCTTCTTGAGGAGACAATTGTGCCTTATATGATTCCTCTAAAGCCTTCAATCTTTCTTCTTCCTGTCTACGTTGCTCTAGGGCGCGCTCTCTTATTCTTTGTCGGCGTAAAATAATATCTTCCTCCTCTCCTACTTGCTCCTTTGCTTCATAATCAATCTCCGGTTTTGATTCCTTGACTACATTCTGTTCTTCATAATATCTTCGTCTTCTATCAACTCCTTCGGAATAACTAGTTTCTTTTGCTTCCCTTAATCTCCTCAGCCTACGATCTGTAGCCACATCCTTTTCAGAAATATTTACTTTTTGTACATTAGTAATTAGTTCTGCGTTTTCTTTTTCGAATTGTTCAAGTTGCTCCTCCTCTTCTTCCTCCGAAGAGTACTCGTCAACTCCCTCTGGAGCTTTTCCGGGCCAGTAACGTTGAACTTTTACAGGTTGTGGGACTGCTTCGCCCTTGGCATTTATACCTCCTCTTGCAGCCATGCTTTCAATCTAAGCTGTAAACGACTATGATAATATTTATTGTATGTCTGTATGCAACAAAAATTGCTGTTTTCAATCTACGTGCGTGAATCGATAAAATATATCAAGTGCAACTACAGTAATTAAGTCCAGAAGTAAAATCACATGATGAAAATTCACGATTGCGTGCACAGATGATTGGCTGACCTTGCGTCGTGAAAGCAATTAACTTTTGAAAAATGATGTAGCGCGAAATAATTCTATTTTCAAGAACAGCTATAATGGAAGCATCGTTTTTTTTTTAAAAAAATAATGATTTAGTAAGTTACCAAGGATGATTTATTTGCTGAGATGACGGTCTTTGTAAAGTTATTATATGCGTGGCGGCCACACAAAGCATAATGGCTTTTCTTAATTGTGCGTATCAAATTTTTATAAAATATCTGACCAGCATATACAGTATATTAACAACTTTTGTCGAAAGCTTTGGTTAATATTTTGCTTTTGTTTGGACATTCTCATCGAGAACTCTGCATCAATATAAATTATGTGTCAAAAGAGGCATTCTAAAAATTACTTTGAGATTTTCTAAAGTAATATGAATATTTACAGTATAAGGTAATATATATTTGAATGGACAAACTGAGAAAACTTTCTTGGCTAGAAGTTGAGATCTTTATATTTCTTTTGAATTATTCCAATTTAATACTTGCTTAAATAATGGACCTGGTTGAATTGACTTATTCAATGTTATAGTTGATAACAAAAAAGATCTTTTCTAAGATTCAATCAGGTAAATCTTTTTTAAGAGGAGATTGTTCAGTTGATATATTTTTTTGAAAGATCTTGAATTGTATTCTTTTTTTTTTTTCTTTTTTTTTCCTTTTCTTTTATTAATTTAGCAATTTAGGATTTTAAACAATTTATAATAACAAACTATTGATGTTAAATCTAGTGAATAGAAATTTATATTGTGATAAAAACAATTTTTAATACCATTAAATAGTTATTTTTAATTGCAATCTTTATTCTTTTTTTATTTTTATCTGTTTATTTATTATTATTTCTTGAATATTCTTTAATATTTTTTTTGATGTTCTTATTGATACTTAATTAACATATATTACTTTATCAAATATAGCATATGATATAATTTACTATAGATCAGATAACCCAGAAAGCTCAAATAGTCTAAGTAATTCACTTTACAAGTATATAAGCAATCTTTTTTTTTTATAATCTTCTATCAAGCTAGTTATATATATTTTATTAAACAGTTATAGATTATACATTATATATATAATATTAAAGCTAAATCTTTTTTTTTTTATCGCAAATGAGTATTAAATGTGGGCTTTTATTAGAAATTTAATTCATTAGCTTGACATTAATAGTCTTTACATTGTAAATTAACTATAGCCTATTGCGATTTGCTTTCCATGACAAACTACTAGTCATTGACTGAGTGCATCATGCAAAGGTCGAATGGCTAATGCTCATTTGAAAATAATGATATTATTAATAGAGTAAAAATAGATAGGTTAGTAGCATTGTTATGGTAGTTTTACGTCTGTATTATTTGTTTAAGAAGAAAATCTTTATAGTTATTATTATTGCTGTTGGAGGTGGAGGGTATTGCTTTGGTGAGTTTCTATTTGATTTCATTAAGAGGAGCTATGTTTGTTGTGGCAGATCGTTATTTTCAAATCTTATTAAGAATTTTAAGAGATTTGTTGGTTAATTGTGCTTTGTGTTTTGGTTTGTTGAGTTGGTTAGAGAATTGATTAGAGGCTTCTAATACTATTTTAAGTAATATGTCACTGTTATTAAACTGGTGAAGATTATTAAGATTGCATGTTGAGGACTTTTTGTTGACTGTTTGTTGATTAATACTTTAAAAAAAGTGCTGAGTTTTTTTTGCTTTTGGACTCAGATATTTGTTGTTTTCATTGCATGTAAAAACATGTGTTTGATCCTCTGTATGATGTTCACATCTAGGACATTTGATATTTGGATAGAGTAACAGATATCATTTATTGAGTTTAGATCTTGTGGATAAAAAGTTAAGAAGTAGTTTTGTTCAGAATGTTGCCAAAGTTCTGAATTTTGTTTTGTTAGCAGACCAGCATTGCTTGTTTGCTAATTTGAGTATTTTAAGTTCATCAATAGTTTCGGGTTTGTAAAACATGTCAGTACTAAGAGTGGCTGCAATTAGATTGCAAGAATTGTTAATGAATTTGATCCAATGTATGATGCTGGTATCTATTTTGCTATTGATGCATGGAGATAGATTATAGTTATTAAATTTGATAGGTGGAAGTGGCAAGATTGTACTATTAGCTGATGACTCAATTGAGTTTTTTTCTTTTGAGAACTCCAGTGTGATCTTTTTTATTTTGGCTAGATTTTGGCAATAATTAATAAAGTGACTATAAGGAACTCTAATCTGTTTGTTTATGTATAAGGTGAGGTGAGACAATAGATTTATGGGAAGATGACATTTGATAGTTGTATTCAAGTCATCCGTTTCAATTTAATTTATCAAAATGGTCCAAATTTCATTTGGTGAATTAGAAAGATTGAATAATAATGTTCTCGTTGATGATTTATCCAGGTAGATAAGTTGTAAATATTGAGTTATAGTTATCTTATTAGGTGCACTTGTCATTTTAGCTTGATCAGGTGAGATAATTATAAGAGATGGTGGCACAGGTTGTGTCGACAAAAGTTGAGCTTTGATTTCTTCTAAATTATTCAGCAGTTGAAAGGAATTTTTTTTTCTTATACCATAGTGATATCATTTTAATTATAGGTTGGGAAATTATGTATGGCTTGAAGAGCAGCGGCATGGTACTATCTGATGTGTTTGGAGTTCAAGTATATGATGGCATCCTTTAATAATTAATGTGTCTCTATTATTTCTGCGTAATTTTATAAATTCAGGCGATTGATCTATTGTGTTGAAGTCCCAGAACAATAGAGTTGAATTAGGTTTCAGGAGTATGCTATTCTTAATGGGTGGAGATATATTGGCTATATTTGAGAACCATGTAAGTATTGGTCCTGGATTAATCTTCCCACTTTTGTATGGAATTCGTTCCATGAATTTTTGACCATAGAATTGAAACAAAAGAGTTGTTTGATTGATCTCATATTCTGTCTATATAGATGAAGTGCTGTTGTTTTTGGGATGCTAGTATGTAATCCTATTGAGAGATGTGCATCACCATTCTCAAAAAAGCATTCTGCAGTGAAAATATCGATGTGGTATTTATGTGAGAATAAGGCTGCTTTAGTGATTTATGAGGATTTGAATAAATGGAGTTTGCATAGGGGGCATTCCCAGATGGCTGAGCTGGCTTGAATTGAATGGATTTCTTTTTTGATAAATGGAAAAGTGATTGGACTTACTAAGGTCGTAACCAGGAGCTTGATAAGAGTTTGACTTTTGCGATCGCTCAATGAAGTGAGATTCAAGCCAGCTTGAGAATAGACCATCTTGTTGGTAATGGTGCACACAACACCTAATTTTGTTTTAATTGCTTTATTTGTTGTCACTTGTAGTTTATTGAGATCACTTTTTTTTAGTGAAATTATTTGAAGGACATATTCAAGTTAAGCTGGAATGATCCATTGTGAGACCTGCTTGGTGATAGAGCCATTTCATCACTTTTATTGAGATATGTATTCAGTAAATTTACTTGTTTTATCTAGTAAGTTTCTCTTCGTGGCCATGTCTGAAGACTTTCCAGATAAGTATATGCCTAAGTATTTAATTGTCTGAATGAAAGGTTTTGGTATGATGTGTATGCCTTCTACTATTAAGCTTTCTTTTCTTTTGTTACCTTTTATGGAGTGGCTGGTGATCAGGTCTATTTTTATTTTGTTACATGTTATGTGATTCATTTTTAAAAATGAAGTGAATATATCTGTTGCTACCTGTAGTGGCCCTAAGGAATGAAAGAATATTGCTACGTCATTAATATATTCAAATATTTTGTCTGACTGTAGTAAGGTGTTATGAATTTTGGAGATAACCGGATCATAAAATATAGTCCAGAGTAATGGAGCTATTGTTTCACCTTGATCTAAGCCTTGGGATACAACTATTTGGAGAGTTAGGCTATAATATGCAATGAATTGGATTGAGTGTTTTTTTAGAAAATTTAAGATTAGGTTGTTGAAATTTGTTGGAGTCTTTATTTGGGTGAAGGCTAGTTCCAAACTTTTTAAATTGACTGAGTCGTAGGCTTTTGAGATATCAAATGATGCCAGTCAGTAGTTCTTGTTAAAGTTGTATAAAGAGCTAATTAGGGATCTCAGGATAGCTATAGATTCCAAAGTGCTTGGCTTTTTATACCGGCAAAATTGGATGATGAAAGAATATTATTGTTCAGAATGATGTTTAATAGTCGAGTGTTTAAAATTTTTGTGAAAATCTTTCTACTTGTTTCTATAAGGGCGATGGAGCATGTGTCACTTAAACTATAAGACCATATAAGCTTCTTAGATAGAAGTGTAATAATGGTGCTTTTCTAGTGTCTAGTATGGTGACTATTAGACAAAATGTCATTGAAGAGATTTACAACTGTTTTTTGTGTATTTGTTTCCATAATTCATAAGAAATTTTGATGGGACTGGGGCCTTGTTTTCATGAAATGTTGCAATTGTTGACATGAGTTTTTCTAGTATGATTTTCTCCATCAGATTATTGTATAAGTCAGTTTGTATGTTTTGTTTTGGATTGTATTCAGAGACCCATTCCTCCTCCATTTCAAAGTTTTTTGGAGTTAGGTAATTCTGGTAGTGATTGATAATTATGTCATTAAGAATCTCTGGATCATCTTGAAGTTCATTTCCATCATAAAGGATCAATAGATCAAGGGAGGTTTTAAGAGCTCCCATGGCCATTCTGATGTATTGCTTTGGTTTAGACCAGAATCTTGTGAAATTATCGGTAATGTTTCTCTGAATTTGATCATTGATATGTTTAGCCATTTGGATTTGTTTTTCCTTTAGGA